AGGTATACGTATGGGCCATAAGGTCTCTCTCTCTCACTTACTCAGCTCTGCCATTGTTGTGAAATGATGGGCATAGCTATTGATCCAATAAAACTTTATTTATGAAAGCAGGAGCAGCAGTGTGCTGATTTCTGTTCTGGAGGTCAGAGCTAAAGGGCTACTGAGTGAATGAGGAAATCCGTATCTGTGCTTCACCAGGGAAAAAGGCTAGGATCAGATGGGCCAGTTTAGAAGGAATCAGCTCCTAGCTTATCATATGGAAGGCCTTTCTAGTCTGTAGAATAAAATAAATTGCCTTGCCATGTGAAGAGCTCATCATGTTGAGAAGCTTATAATAAACAGTGGCTCAGCAAATTGTGAGGGAGAAGGATGCTCTAAGAAGCAAATCGCAGTGAGTGAGTGGGAGGTTAGAAAATAAGACCAAAGATCCTTCCAACTCAAAGACCCTACAGTTTTAGGACATTCACATGGAATTATCTGCAATTCAAGGCTGTTAATACTCTCCAGCCAAGTGAATGATGGACTTTCTCTCATCTGACTACTCTTTGGAGTGGCCAGGAGGTGTCTCATTTGGTAGGAGATGCAGGGGTGTGCAAGGGAGCGGGAAATATGGGGGTGGGGAGGTGGGGGCCCCTTGTCAACAGCTGCAGTGCCTCTGAAATGGCGATGGCATCCAGGCCAGGAGGTGCTGGCTGCAAGGTGGCAATTAGTCATGGTTTCTGTGTTGCTTTCCACCTTTGGTCATGACTTCAGAGAGCCTTATTAAAACTATAACTTCAACCAGAACCTTCTCTGGAACCTGCTCTTTCTCTCTTGAGACATATTCCTAGGTAAGAGGAAAGGTAAGAGTCCCATGTGGATACGTGTCCTTCTCTTTCCTCATTTAATAAACAGCCTAATTGGAGTCTTCAGTCTCTGGCTTTTACTTTCAATAGAAGCCGAATCACATAAACACTTTAATCAGGGGATTTCAATGTCATCATGGAGCAAGCGCGAATTTTGTAGGTAATAATGGGGAAGAAACATTTTCCTGAGAAAAGCTACTTTGTGTGTGCCTTGGTGTTTTTAATTTAGATGAGTCTCCGCTGTTTGGCTTTTGTTTTTTTCTAAAAATGAGAACATTCTTCAGTGAAATTATATATTCCTCAGAGACAGATGCCAACCAGACATTCCAGAAAAAAGGGCTTTTTTTAAAAGACGGAGTTTGGCCATATCTTTACACTGGAAACAGGAACCCACATGAATCCACAGCTGCAAAATGCAACTCATCCATAGTCACATAGAAATTTAGATGTTAACTGGAGCTACGTGGCCGGGCCTGCCTATTTGGAAGCAGGAATGGGCCACTGGGAACGCCGCGGGAGTGGAGAGCCAGAGCCGCGGGCGGCAGAAGTGCTGGTGTCCTTTCTCCTGAAATGCTCTTGGGGCTGGGTTGTTAGTCTTCCAGTGAGGTGTGCAGCTAAAATCGAGAATACTCCTCCACCTGACTCTCACAGAGGCAGGGAAGGTCATCTCGAATCCTTAAAGGATCCCTTTTCTCTTCTGCAAAACAGTTAGAAACTGTATTGTGGGAGGGTAGGGGTGACGCCCTTTCTCCCCGTGCTTTGGAAGTGGCATTTCACGTATAAGAAAGGTGTATGGCTAACCAGGCATGAAAAAGCCTTCATCGTCATCACCTACTTGTGGACTTTTCGCTTTCTTCCTTGTGTCAGCCCACCAAAATCTACAAGATTAAACACAATTGCCATGAAGACAATAAATAAATTGTGGACTTTAGTACAGATAGCAAGAACCATGCCTCTTATAAAAACAATCCACACAGTGAACTGAATGTATTGCTGAGGAAACATGAGATCCTTGCAGGTCTCAGGCCAAGGGCTAGAGGCTCACCCAGGCTCCAGGTTGTCTCTGAATATCTCTGAAGGGTGAGGAGGGGTAGTCAGGTGCCAGATTATCTGGATTCAAGTCCTGCCTCTGCTACTTCTGTGGGGCTTTGGGCAAGCGCCAAGCCCTTCAGTTTCTGCATCTGTGACACGGACTTAAGGACAAGGAATAGTGCCTGGCGGGGAGGAAGCCCCGTGTCAGCTTTTGCTAACCCCACAAACTGCTGAGCCAGCACCTGCAACCCTTTCATAGGTCCGGCAGCCCCAAGGGAGAATGACTGTGACTCCAGACAGTTTAGCTACTTGGGGATGACTTTCTGCAGAATTAAATAAGTCTGGGACTCTGCAGATTGGAGGTGGGGATTCTATTTCTATTTCTTGGATGGCTTAACATGGGGACATACCTAGAGGAAATGCTGCTGTCTTATTTTTCTTCCAAATAAATAAATTCTGAAGTTGGCTGAAGCTTTTCACAGGGTGCTCGATTCTCAAGTTTCCTTTTCTATTTGTGATCATCTGGCCTAGTCTTAGCTCCTATTCATTTTTTTTTTTTTTCACAGTAACATAAAGGATTAAATAAAGCCTATGGCTTGTGTAAGAGGAAGATCACAGAAACGGGTGTCACAATACAGCGTCTCCTGAGTGGCTGCTTCAATCTGGCCCCGGATTCTGGTCATTACTGAGATTCATAAGTAGGTGGAGACCACATGTCAGCATTATTTATTTGAAAATTCAGGCCATGACTCTCTAATTTACAATGTGAAAAGCAATATTTTATTCAAGTGCTTGCATTCTGAGGCCTATAGCTAAGTAGGGGCTTTAAGGGTGTGTGCCACTAGATCCAATATAAAGACGACATTAAGGTCAGAATACCAAAGTGACCAATTTACAGAGGAGCTTTTGTGAAGGTAACGCACAAAGAGCCAAACAAATGTTATTCAAGCCCATCTCGCCTGTGGGTTTTGAAAAGCTGGTGACAGGGTAAAAATCCAATCACTGCACTGTGTGGAAAACAACTCATGTCATTAGTTTTTGGCATTTTCTTTTGTGATGCAGTGCAGCTAATGGTCGGTATAGGCAGCTGTATAGACCAGCCATTTGAGGACCCACACTTTAGACACACAGGCATAGCTGTGTTCAGTTTAATAGGAACCATGTGTTCCAATCCAAACAACATCTGACCCTCATGCTTCAAATAGTATGTATGCTTCTCAAGGGGTCTATTCAGTCAGACAGCTGTTGGGAGGTTTATTCCCACATTTTTAATTTGTCTTTGGCCTGGACAAACTGCTCATATTTTAATATTTCTCTGGATATTATTTTTCACTGTTTTACCTCCTTAGCTTAAATCTTTGGTTCCCAGCTCAAATCCCAAATTGTTTTTAAGGTGAGGTCCACCAAAATTCATTTGATTTTTTTTTTTTTTGGTGTTATTTTAGAGCACAAATTCAGATTAAAGTTATTTTTAAAGATTAGGTTACTAAGGAGTAACTTAAAATCCTTCGGCTTTAATGATTTCTCTGTGTAGAGCAGGATAAAAGCTTCTTTCTTTATCTCTTTCTTTCTTTCTTAATTTTTTTTTTTTTTTGAGGCGGAGTCTCTGTCTGTCGCCCAGGCTGGAGTGCAGTGGCATGATCTCAGCTCACTGCAACCTCCGCTTTGCAGGTTCCAGTGATTCTCCTGCCTCAGCCTCCCAAGTAGCAGGGACTACAAGCACGTGCCACTACACCCAGCTAATTTTTGTATTTTTAGTAGAGACGGTGTTTTACCACGTTGGTCAGGCTGGTCTCGAACTCCTGACCTCAGATGATCCACCCGCCTTGGCCTCCCAAAGTGCTGGGATTACAGGTGTGAGCCACCACGACTGGCCAAGAACACTTTCTTTTAATTCAAAGATGTTTTCTCTGATCCTTCAAAATATACGGAGGCTTGAGTTACTACATAGAGGAGATGTTAAATGAAAAAAGTAGTGAAGGATCCTAATTCTGAATCTCCTAAAAAGAATCAATTCAGTGAAAAAGAGAGGCTGTACAGCACGGTGGCTAGAAGCCCTGGTTTTGGAGTCAGACATCCCCGAGGTAGAAACCCTGCTCTGCTGCTAGCTGCTAGACCACGGGCAATGACCCAGCCTGTTCAAGATTTACCTTCCTAATGTAGAAAACAGAGAAGCCCCATCTCGACGGATTAAATGAGATAATGTGTGGTAAGCACATAATCTAGCTCCTAGAAAACAGTACATATTCAATAAAGTACAGCTTTATTTCAAAACTCAAATCTCTAGTCTTATCCATAAAGAGGAAGCAGCACATGGCAAGTCTTGTGATGGGGAGGAAGCTTAGTGACTTTTCGAACTGAACCGAATTCTTTGTGGCTAGAGAAAAGCGCACGGTGGGGAGAACAATGAAAGATGAGCCAGGGCTCAGGATCTTGTCACACTGTCCCCAGGCCCCCTCATACATTACCAACTGAATCTGCCTGATAGTGGAGGCATCTTGACACGTGCATGAAATAAAACACGACTGGAAAAAATGAGCCAGAAGTCACTGGCCATGGACCCCCAGATCCTTTCTGAACTTTTAATCTACTCTTTGCTGTGAAGCATTGGAGTCTAATAAGGGGTTGACATTTACAACGGACATTTCTGAAAGATCACCATAAAGCATTGGGATATTTTACGTCTTTACGCAAACCCTCTAATAAAAAAAAGAAAGTAAAATGAAATGGTAAAACAAATAGATTTCGGCCTTAGTTTATAATAGACTTATTTAGGTGGTTATGATGAAATAGGATATGGAGAATACACATGGATGGTCAGGCATTTCAAAATTTTGCTTAGGTTGGTGTTGCTTTTTACTTTTTGGAGACAGGGTCTCACTCTGTCACCCAGGCTGAAGTGCAGTGGCACGATCATGGCTCACTGCAGCCTCAACCTTCTGGGTTCAAGCAATGCCCCCAACTCAGCCTCTCGATAGCTGGGACTACAGGCACAAGCCACTGTGCCCACCTAATTTATTATCATCTTTTTTTTGTAGACACAGGGGTCTCACTATGTTGCTCAGATTGGTCTCAAACTCCTGGTATTCACTGGCATAGCCACATTAAGGTATGGGCACCTACCTTTTTCCTTTGGAAGTTCACATCAAGTTTCATTGAGGCACACTTGTTCAACGTATTTAGTCTTCTAAAATGAAAGAAAAATGTGATGATTACTTTCACTAACGAATTTAAATCTCTCCAGTTTGATAAGCCTCCTTTATTTCCAGTAAAGTTGAAATTGCAGGAACAACCAATTATGTCCCACGACAGTACTGCACCCACAGAAGATACGCTGTAAAATAGTTCCCATTTGTGCTCCAGCCTCCTGACCTGCGAGGACTCTACCACCAAGCCTACCAATCCCTGCCTTTTCTCTAATCTAAACCCAGCCCTTTTCTGGCTTCTCTTTCCACTGTTACTGGAATCCATGGCCAATCATTTTAGCCATACTTTCACTATCCCCTCAAATCGTTTGCCACCTTGACCTTGCATCAAGTCTATCCTGTTAACCTCCAAATATGGATCAACCCAACCATGTGTCTTCTCTCCTGATCTCAGGTGGTTGGGTATAGGTGGAAAATATCTCACTTACACACGCTATAGGCTAACTATGCCGCTCCAAAACATACATGTTGAAGCCCTCCATTCACATATGTGAATGCCCAACGTGATCGATTTGGAGTAAAGAAGTGATTAAGGGTACAGGAGGTCACCAGGGAGGAGCTCTGATCCCAGCGGATTAGTGTCCTTATAAGAAGAGATACCAGAGAGCTCCCTCTCTCTCTGTGCATGTGAGGACACAGTGAGAAGGCAGACATCTACAGGTCACAGGACCCTTACCAGGAGCCAAACCCTGCCAGTACCTTGATCTTGAACTTTTCAGCCTCCAGAACCGTGAGAAAATACATTTCTGTTGTTTAAGCCACTCGGTCAAGGTGTTCCATCATGGCAGCCTGTGCTAATAAACACATTTTGATTTTCACCCTCAGCTGGACTCTAGAAGATGTTACCCAACATTTCTTTCATTTTTTTCTCCTCTGGTTGTTCCCAATCTCAGACCGCCAAAAAGACTCAGTCTCTCAACAGATGACATAGCCACCATTGCCAGTGAGAAGATACAAGCAATCAGATATATATTCTTTTAATAATCTTTTTCTTCTTTCCTTCCTTTCTTTCTTCCCTTCCTTCCTTTTTTTCTCTTTCTTTCTCTCCTTCCTTCCTTCCTTCCTTTCTTTTTCTTCCTTTCTTTTCTGCCTCCCCTTCCTTATCTTTTTTACACTTTCTTTCTGTCTCTCTACTTCTTTCTTTTTTAGAGTAGGATCTCACTCTGTTGCCCAGGTTGGAGTGTACTGGCATGATCATAGCTCACTGCAGCCTCAAACTCCTGGGCTCAAGGGAAACTCCTGCCTGAGCTTCCCGAGTAGCTAGGACTACAGGTGCCTGCTACCATGCCCTTCTAATTTTTATATATATATATATATATATTTTGTAGAGACAGGGTCATGCTATGTTGCCTAGGCTGGTCTCAAATTCCTGGCCTCAAGTGATCCTCCTGCCTCAATCTCCCAAAGCACTTGGGATTATAGGCATGAGCCCCTGTGCCCAGCCCCTCTTTCTGACTTCTATCATCCATAGATTAGTTTTGCTTCTTCTTGGTCATTGTATAAGTAGAATCATATAGCACGTATTTTTTGAGTGGCTGTTTTTTCATTCAACACAATGGTTGTGAGATTGACTCATGTTTTGCATAAACCATTCAGCTTAGTTGCTGAGTAGTATTCCATGGTATGAAGATACACAATTGGGTTAGCTATTCTCTTGTTGATGGACATTTGGGCTGTTCCAGTTGTTTCTTTGTTTTTTGTTTTTCTTTTTTGAGACAGAGTCTCACTCTGTTGCCCAGGCGGGAGTGCAGTGGTGCGATCTCAGCTCACTGCAACCTGTGCCTCCCAGGCTCAAGCAATTCTCCTGCCTCAGCCTCCTGAGTAGCTGGGACTACAGGTGCATACCACCACATCAGCTAATTTTTGTATTTTTAATAGAGATTGGGTTTGACCATGTTGGCCAGAATGGTCTAGATCTCCTGACCTCGCGATCCACCTGCCTCGGCCTCCCAAAGTTCTGGGATTACAGGCGTGAGCCACCGCGCCAGGCTTGTTTCCAGTTTTGACCAATGAATTTCTAAGTATGAAACTCAATGGCTTCTTTTTAGCAAAGACCTATTAATAGCAATCATCACTAATTAGTACCCATCATTCCTTGAAATTCTTTTCATCCTTGACATTCAAGATTATGGATTATCTCATCTCTCTGGACACTAACTCCTTCCTGCCACCAAGCAGTACTTGCCTCTTAACTATTAATTTTTTTTTGTTAGAATTCAGACTGAGGTCCGTCCTTTTTTACTCTCCATGGCCTTACTGAAGAATCTTAACATAAATTAGACTCGAATGATACCCAGTCCTCTGTCTCCAGCCCAGGCATCTCATCTGAGGCCCAGAGTCACATTTTGCATTCTTTTCGAAACCTGTTTCTCCTACTTACTGTCTTGTCTTGACTAAGAGCATCACCAATGGGCCACCCAAACTAGAAAATAATGTCATCTTGCGGCTCTACTCCTTCACAATCTATATTCATTGGTCACCAAATCCTGTCAATTATACCTCTATGATGTCTTTGAAGTCTTGCCCCTCCTTTGGCCCTAATTCATTCTCTTTTCATTGTTTACTGAGTCAGGCATCAGCCTCCTAATTGGTTTCACTACCACTTCTAAAGCTTTCGGTTGAAAGCAGTTATATTTCTCAACTTTTTCTCACGTCGCTCACTGGCTGAAATATGTTTAATGACTCCTCATTTTCAACCATCTCCTATGTACCCTTTGACTACACATTCATTAGTGTCAGATATACCAGGCAATGCTGAGTTAGAAGCTGATCATCTCATCTGAGACCATCTTTGGCAGGTTCTCAGCCTGTCTGTTTGGTCCATTCCACATGTGTTATCATGTCTACCTAAAAGCGGGTGTGAAGTGAAAAAAAAAAAGGTTGATATTGCACATTTGGTGGCTCTGTAACAGGTTTGTTTAGAGACGGATTGACTGTTACTTATAAAATGAACTTATCTAGTGAACTTGTTCTTCCATTATGGTTTGGAAGCACAAACAAAACACTCCATTCTGCTTTTCTGTGGAAAAGCTTTTGATCTATGACATACACAAAAGACATCAAAGGAATCATCTTCTGTATACCACAGACTCGAATATGCTTTAACTTTCTAACACATGCAGGAAGTTTATTTATTATTTTCTAAAGCTGAAGACTCTAAGTAGATTTGACTTTGTAGTTCTGGGTCCTTTTATTGCCCCTAAACTCAGATGTTTGCCTGTACCTTTCAAATTCCTTCTCTACTTGGAGAAAGTAGTTGCAAAACATGTATTTCATAAAGGAATCATATCCAGAACACCTAAAGAACTCTGAAACTCAGTAACAAGTCAAACAACCTGATTTTTCAAATGGGCAGAATATTCGAACAGATACTTCCAAGAGAAGATATACAAGTGACAAATATGCACGTGAAAAGATGTTAATTTGCATGAAAGAAATGCAAATTAAAATCATAACGAGACACCACTACACAACAGAATGCCTAAAGTAAAAACACTGACAACATTAAGTATTAGCAAGGATTCAGAACTACTGAAACTTCCAAAGGGGTACAGTCTCTTTGGAAAACAGTTTGGCAGTCTCTTATAAAATTAGGTATATTTTTAGCACTTGATCTAGCAATTCCACTCTTAGCTACTTATGCAAGATAAAAGAAATCATATGTCCACATAAAGATTTATACTATATATATATATATATATATATAGCTGTAAAAAGGTTTGTACTTGAATGTTCATAGCAGCTTTAATCATAAGATAGCCACAAAGTAGAAATGGCCCAAATGTCCACCAGCTGGTAAATGTATATAAAAATTGTGGTATATCCATACAATAGAATACTCAACAATTCAAGCACTAACTATTGATATACAACACTACGCATGAATCTCAGAGTCAGTATGCTAAGTAAAAGAACCCGGACACAAAGAACACACACTACAGGATTCCACTCATCAAAAAAATTTCAGGCAAGACAAAACTGTGACAGAAAACAGACGAGTGGTTGCCACTGCCTGCACTGGGGGAATTTTTGAGGTCACAAAAATGCTGTGTCACGGCTGGGCATGGTGGCTCATGCCTGTCATCCCAGAACTTTGGGAGGCCGAGGTGGGCAGATTGCTTGAGCCCAGGAGTTTGAGACCAGCCTGGGCAACATGGAGAGGCCCTGTCCCTACAAAAAACATATATAAAAATTAAGCCGGGTGCGATGGCTCACACCTGTAATCCCAGCACTTTGGGGGGCCGAAGCGGGCGGATCACCTGAGGTCAGGAGTTCGAGACCAGCCTGACCAACATGGTGAAATCCCATCTCTACTAAAAACACAAAATTAGTCAGGTCTGGTGGCACATGCCTGTAATCCCAGCTACTCAGGAGGCTGAGGCAGGAGAATTGCTTGAACCTGGGAGGCAGAGGTTGCAGTGAACTGAGATCACGCCATTGCACTCCACCCTGGGCGACAGAGCGAAACTCCATCTCAAACAAACAAACAAAAAAAATAGCTGGATGTGGTGGCACATGCCTGTAGTCCTAGCTACACGGGAGGCTGAGTGAGAGAATCGCTTGAGCCTAGGAGATCAAGGCTGCAGTGAGCTGAGACCGTGCCATTGCACTCAGCCTGGGTGACACAGTAGGACCCTGTAGCTGAAAAAAAAAAGTTTTATGTCATGATTGTGGTGATAGTTACATAACTATACATTTGAAAAAATTAATCAAATTGTATACTTTGGTGATTTCTTGGAATATAAATTATATTTAAATAAAGCTGAATAAAAAATGCAAGTGAGTGACATCAGTGAAAAAGATTAAGTAAAAACCTCCAAACTACTGCTTCTTCATAAAATCAATAAGAGTACTGGCAAATATTGTCAAAATCAACTTTTTAAGAAAGCTGTAAATTGAAATGGGCTTTCAATAAACTAAGTAACACTAAGTGTCTATTTAAGAAAAATGGTTAAACATATGTAAGGACAGTGAGCTTTGT